GAGACTATATCTGGTGCTTGTTTTTCCATTCTTGGGATACTTCACTTAGTAGTATGGTTCCAGCTCTAACCAGGAAAATAAGATGTGCTATATCACCATTGTTCTTAGAGCTGAATAGTACTCCATGGTATACATATACACATTTTATTAATCCATTCTTGGATTGATGGGCACTTGGGCTGTTTCCACAGCCTTGCAATTATGAATTTGCACAACATTTTTAATAAGGTTTAGGCCCATGTACATGTTTTCACTATGGAAGGCTTTCTGGTTTGGTGTTTTTTTTTTCTTTTTAAATAGAAAAGAAAAACTACAACTCAGACATTTTCAATTTTATTGATACTCATTTAATAACAGGCTCTAGTTTTATAAACTGAATTTCGCATCCATACATATTTAGTCTTAATTTATAAACCAACTTAACTTGGATAATCTTTGAGGTATGTTACAAAGTACAAGTTTTAAAGAAACATCACAATAATATTGTGTGTCAGTGATCATTTTTGTGAACTTAACAGAGGAGTTCAAGTTTTTAATCCAGTCACTCTGGTTCACAGCCAGATACTACGTAAATCCTTACAAAAGAAAACAAGGTACCCCCAGGCTAGATGGAATTCACCCAGAGAAACCCATTTCCCTCTCTATGGTGTCAATAATTTTGATTATCTACAGGCATCTCAAAAATGACTTTAACAATGCCATGCAGCTTTAGTGAGGCTGGAAAAAAGGAAACATTTGACTAAAGGTAATAATTGTTCAAACAGTAAGAATAAAACCACATTATATATATGTTCCAGGGAAAGAGCTTAAGAGACAAAACAATAAAAACACTGTGTGAATCTTTCCTAAACCCTGAAAAAAAATCTGATTTCAAGTTAGTTTACAAAGTCATTCATGAACCACTTGTATTGAGACAATAAGTCTAAAAATTTTCATGGAAGAGCCAAAGCTTATGTGTGACTTACAACTTTAAAGTCAGGCACTTGTATTGGACATACATGGCCCACAAGTTTTATTAAGGAGCTAAAGTTTGTCTCTGACTTACAACTTACCAACTAAAACAAGCCACACACAATAAAAGAATGAAGCCATACATGGCTATTGGAAAGACAAGATTATTTTCCATCTGATGGGTCATTTCCACCCTGAAAGACTGCTAACTAAACTGAAGCCAGGCTTAGTTTAAGGATGTTCTTGATCTGTCAATGCATATCCAGATTTTAACATAATCTTCGCTTTTGAAAAGTCACAGGGTGTTCTTCATTTTGAATGTTGGTATCCTATATGTCTCCCTTCTCCTAAATTGACTCTTTTTCCATTTGATGTATGAAGAGGCAAGATAATCTCACCTCTGATAGCTATCTGGTAGCCATATTAAGAAAAAACCTCTTTCTTTCATAAAGATACAACAACATGGCTGAAGAACCTTTCAGATAATAATCATCAACATGCAGATTCAAAAAGTTGACTATTGAATTTACATGCTAAATAATGAAGACATTATAATACTTACCACACACAAACCTAGAAATGTTATGATATATGCCTGCAAACTAATCCTTTAAAATTAGTAATGATGTAGAGATTTCTTCTTTTTTTTAAGACTAGTCAAGTGCAGTAGTGAAAAGGGGAAAGTAGTAGAACAGATTAAATCAAAAAAAAAAAAAAAATTGAAAAACTCAATAGAAGAATTTAAAGATAAAGTTGAGGAAATGTTCCAGAAGTAGAACAAAAAGCAAAGAGGTAGAAGCTGGAAAAGAAAAGTAAGAATGCTAGACAGCCCTCTGATAGAAGGCTGACATCAGAATAATAGGAACTGTAGAAAGTCAGGAAAGAGAAAATAGAGGGGAGGAAATTAATTATATTACACAAGAAAACCTCCAGAGCTACAGGCCTTAGTTTCTAGATTAAAGGACCAGGAATGATAATGGCCTCAGAATTCTCAGTAGTAGCACTAGAAGCCAAAAGACAATAGAGCAATGTCTTCAAAGTTCTGAAAGACATCATTTTCAACCTAGAATTCCATGCCCAGCCAAACAATTAACTAAGGGAAAGGGCAGAAAAAAAATTTTCTGATAAGTGAACTCTTAAAATATTTACCTCCAAATTCTCTCTCTCAGGAAGCTACTATGTGATGTGCTCCATTAGAAGGAGGGAGTAAACCAAGAAAAGAAAACATGGGATATAGAAAACAAAGGTGACAGAAATAGGAATCCCCAGGATGACAGCTGTGCACCAGGCACAGAGGGCCCCGGACCTGACAGAGCCCGTGGGAAAGCTCCATCAACAGAAAACCTGAGTGATGAAGATTTTGAGAGGACATTTATAAGCAGATAATTAGGGGATGAAACACTTGTAAATACTGGTAAAAATAATTGATAATACTGGCAAAAATACTAGCAAAATAATTATGGAACATTTATGCAGTTGAATCCTACACAGCTGTTAAAAGAAGAGGAAGTGCTTTATATACTGATATGGAAGTATCTCCAACATATACCGTTAATAAATAAAAGCAAAATAATGAACAGTGTACATAGTAGCTACAATTTCTGTAAAAAGAGTTAATATTAAATAAAATTTTATCTAGAAGGATCAACAAAAATGAAATAGATGTATACATGCTGATTCGAAAACATCTTCAAAATATATTACTAATTGAAAAAAGAGGGTATACAACAGTGTGTACTACATACTCCCAATTTAAAAAAAAAACACAAGTGGCTATATACATAATATGCATAATACAGAAAATAGTAAGGGTAGTTGCCTCTAGGAGGGAGATTTCTTTAAATAATGGTATAGTAAATATTCTTTCAAAATCAGAAGAGCAACTGATTCATACTGGTATGAGGGTACTAAGTACACTCTGATAGTTAGAGTTGCCCACCTGTTCAAGCATCACTATGGAGTCTTGAAGCACTCCTTTTAAACGATGGGTCTGATCTTTGTGTTTTGGAATATTCTCTGCTCTCGACACCATATCAGGGGCTAAACTAAAAGAAAAATATAATATTCAAACTCTGGAGAATATCTTCTGATCTTTCATTTCCAGAAATCATTAATACTCCATAAATTTACAAATAAAGCACAAAATTAAACAAACAAAAAACAATATGTTTATGACTATAGGATAGTTAGTAGACCAAAATCTCTAAAACTAAAATTAAATTTTCTGCAACTAAAGAATTGTTGAAATAATATGGTGAATGCAGGCCAGGGGATGGGGAGGGGGAATGACTTACTGTAAAGATTTCTCTTCTTGGAGGTGAAGACGGTAAAAGGACTGAGCAGCATACTCTATCTTTGACAGTTTCAGAAACAGTGACACATTCAACAAAACTAGCAACAGCACACTAGGCAGAGCAAATCATACCAGTTAATCCACACTTATCAAGACCTAAAGTATTACTAATGCAGAATATACATGCAAAAGCTTTAAAAATATATATTATCTAGACTATTTTCCAGTTATTGTTACTGTTTAAATCAACTATCCCCACCTTACTAAATGAAATAATTACTTTTAAGTATTACTGGGTATTGAGGAAAAAGATGGAAAGTAACTAGAGTGGCAATAAAAGTCCTCAAATGACACCAACTCACAGATTGGGGTTGTCTCTGACCTCTCTCCTCTCTATTAAAAATCCCAGTCAGTGTTGATGTGCAAGCACCACCTTAGAAATTTACCAGGTAAGCTTTCAGGATCTATTTTTGGGTGCCTTTGGCTTAAGCAATTATATACCCATAATGCTGCATTTCAAAAAGGAAATGAAGATCAATATGGAGTTGATCTTAGGTAGATCACAATGTATCTCTTATTCCCACTGGAAGCTAACAACAAAAAAAATGACCATTCAGCAAAAATTTCTTCATCTTGGACAAAGGAAGTATGAAATCCCAGATATACATTAATGGTGTCACATATGAAATATCACAGGTTAAATGAACTTAATGTATTGTTTTTTTCTCAGTAGCCTTTCCAGTGAATGGATATATACCTAATTCTACATATATGCAAATATATAGGTGGCATCATATCTTTCTACTTAATTTTTCTGTTAAAATATTGACTTGCCCTTAAAAATATATAGTACTCACCTGTATTCATCAAGAAAAGGGTTTAAAAAAAACTTAAGGTAGTAGCAAGAAAATCAAATCTATGAAAGTATTATGGCATTGAAATAGTATATAGGTGAACATTTCAACATTTGAGTATAAATTTCCCACAAAGTAATGCCAAAATCCACTGATAATATCTGCTATTCAAAATTGTCATAGCAAACTGATTTAAGCAGAATATGAAAGCCTTTTATAAAACTCAAAGGAACAACAAACATTTTCTATGTTCTGAAACCTATAATTAGAAAAAACCCAGCTAATATAGGAGCTTCATTCCAAAAAATTATCATGCAGAGCATATCACTGAGTCAGAACCAATTCAAATAAATCTAAGAGACTACCTCAAGATTCATATAGAGCCATGCCAATATTAGTACTCTCCATAAGACTGGCTAAGTAGATTCCTATCAAATATGCTGAGATTCAGACCAATTGCCCCAGTATGTCTCACCATGTGATGCTTGGATCACTTGGAACAGAATAACCTGGGGTGAGTGTTTTACAATACTGATTCCTACCATTCAGCCATAAAGAAAAGAATGAAGTAATGTCTTTTGCAGCAACTTGGGTGGAACTAGAAGCCATCATCATCCCAAATGAAGTATCTCAGGAATGGAAAAAGAAATACTCACATGTATTTGTTTAGCTCCCACTTATAAGTGGGAGCTAAACCATGGGTATACATGGTCACATGGAGTGGTATAACAGACTTTGGAGACTCAGAATGGGTGAAGTAGGAAGAGGAGAGGGATCAGAAATTACCTATCTGGTACAATGTACACTATTCAGGTGATGCGAACACTAAAAGCCCTGACTTCACCACCATACAATTCATCATCCATGTAACAAAACTCCGCTTGTACCCTTTATATATATATGGCATATACCCTATATATATGTATATATAAATTAATAAATAAAAATATTGATTCCTGATCCCTACTCAAGACCTACTGAATCAATCTCTGGGACTGGGGCTGAGAAATCTGCATTTTAGCAATCTTCCCAAGCGATTCTTATGCACATTAAAGGATAAGAACCCCTGATCTAATCAAATAGAGTAAACTAGTATTTCTGAGATTTCACCAGTGTGAATGTATAAATATTCACTTTAAAGTTATGGAACGTCCCATAAAAACTAACGATGGTAGCCGGGCACGGTGGCTCACGCCTGTAATCCTAGCACTCTGGGAGGCCGAGGCAGGCAGATTGCTCGAGGTCAAGAGTTTGAAACCAGCCTGAGCAACAGTGAGACCCCGTCTTTACTACAAATAGAAAGAAAATAATTGGCCAACTAATATATAGAGAAAAAATTAGCGGGGCATGGTGGTGCATGCCTGTAGTCCCAGCTACTCGGGAGACTGAGCAGCAGGATTGCTTGAGCCCAGGAGTTTGAGGTTGCTGTGAGCTAGGCTGACACCACGGCACTCACTCTAACCTGGGCAACAAAGCAAGACTCTGTCTCAAAAAAAAAAAAAAAAAAAACCAATGATGGTAGAAAATAAATTAGATTACTTAAAAAATAAAAACATTTTATGAATGTATCCTTTGTATTTCCTCAAATGTAATAATTCTGAAAATCATACATCAAAAACTATCAGACTGAAACCTATAAAATTGCTGTTTTTGTAGGCCAACATTGGTCAAATAGTGGCAATCTCTATACAATAATATACAGATATATTTAAATTCTTTTGGAAATTAGTTAAAAGAAGAAAACACCAGCAAAATAATGAATCCACAGCAAATACTTACAAAAGACTCATCACCACAATAAGAGCAATGCTACAGCTTTCCAATTCCTTTTTCTTTCCTGCAGATCACAAGAAAAAGGCTACATTAGAATAAGGATTATGATTATAGCTGATAACAATTTAATGTTCATTTGAAAAGAGCTGAAAACAAAATTTTTAAAATTCTTTGTAAAGACAAAATTATTTAGGATAAATTCCCTGCACCTCTTTTTTGATTTCTGATATCCTGAGTAATAGGAAACAAATCTACAAAGAGAAAACCTACAGCAGTCATTCAAATTTGGCTTATATTACAAATTAATTTACTCTAAAATTAAGTAAGCAATTCAATACATCACGCATGATATCTAGCTAAGTACTATCTCTGCAAATAATATTTGAGCTGGGTTTATGTACAATGTTTCCCTCCTCAGAAAAAAAATCATCCTCATCTATTCATTCTTGTGTCCAAACTTTTCAATTTCAAAATTAAAGAGCCATTAATCTTAAATAGTAGATAAACATCTTCACACTAAGATGTAAGTCTCAGAAGATTTGATAATGTAGCTGGGTGAGAAGGCATAACAGTTTAATAGCTCTGAGAGGGAGGGAATAACAGTTAATAGAAACAAGATGTCTTCAAAATTGAGAGTGGGGATAATAAAAGTCAAGTTCCATCTTTATAATTTTGCTAGGTTGGCCCTAAGAGTACATAGGGAGTCAGAGCAACATATTTAAAGGTAGAAAGCAAATGTCTTTAAATGTAAGCAGGAAATAAACGAGCAAATCGGTCCAGAAGCAAGAAGGTGGTAACTATGCCAGGGACTGTGGCAAGCTGGGGAGCACACATTCTGCCTAACAAAGCAGCTACTATTACACTAAGCTCCAACCAACTGCTGCTGTGAAGGATTTGGGTCCAGGGTTATCAGATCTGAGTTTTTATATAAAAATGTCCAATTTTTAAAATGTCATGTGGGCCAAATAAAATACTTCTATTGGCCATGTGTCTGCCATTTTACAACCACTCCTTTATATTTGTTTATTAGTTACCTTTTAAAAACTCACTGTTTGATAAACATTATCAAAAGGGAGGGAACAGCGGGAAACCTCCTAACTGATATATCTTACAAACAAGAGGCACATTCTGCTTCATAGAACTGAACTAGAATTTTTCATCTCTGTTTACCAGGTGACAGCTACCTGAAATACCCATTTTGATCTCTAAGCCCACATCTCCAGAGGAACGCTGAGAAGAAAGTTTAGGAACTGTTTCTGTTGTTCGGTTGAATGGTCGCCTTCTCCTTCGCAGGCTGCTAAGTTTTCCAGGGTCTTCAATGGATTGATTTAATATAGATTCTTCCACTAACAAATCTGATTCTAAGAAGGAAAAAAAGAGCATCTTCAGATAGTGTGTATACAGTATGGCTACCTTCTCAACTATAAGATACAGGGGTTTGGGGTTGTTCTTTTAATTTAAGCCTTGGTAACTTTAACTCTTCCTTAGGTTCTTAGAACCTAGATTCGTACTTTACTCTTAATGAAAAGGTTTAAAGAGCACAATGACCCTATAATGAGAGATTTTATTATTCTAGGAAGAATATATATTAATAAATGATAGGCTCATCTGAGCAAATTTGCCATGTACTATATTAAATATTAATATAATGATTTCAGTTAGGGAAACAATAGGCTACCCAACTTACACTAAATCATTAGAAAGATTTCCAAGACAGGTTATGGTATTTGTTAAAGTTAAAGGAAGGAGTAGCATACAATAGTTCTAATTTTCAATGAGGGGTTGTAAGAAAGGAATACTAGTAAAGAAAATCTGCAAATAACCTAAAAACCTCATTTTTGTCATTTGTTTCAACCTTTTCCTTTGCTAGATTTTTTATTAGAAGCTCATTATCCAGTGGCCAAAATAATTTTTGAGTTTCATTTTCTTTGCTCCTGATGAAGAATTTAATAATGAAATAGCCAAAGGAAGAAAGGAAAATAATCCACAAATCAGATGAATAAAGCCTTAAATTACCTTGAGCTGACTGACCACCAACTTTCCTTCAACTAAAATTAATTATGCTCACATATGTATATATACATTTTTTTCTCACATATATATATTAAGAAATACCCAAGTAGAACAACTGTATCACTTCCCACAGTCAGCCTCCAGAACTCACCTCCACCAAACCATGCATGTATATAATACCATTGCTACGTGGGCCTGCATAAGGCTAGGAAAGCTGCATCCAATGAGGGGGGTATGGGCCTAAGGACTCTCCAGATCTTAGCACAGTATGTATCTATGAGCAGGTTATGCAGTCCCTCACTGCAGCCAGCCTCCTTGGCTCCTTGCAGAGGGCGTATGGCAGCTCTTAACTATGTGATCTTGACAAGTCATTTAACATCTCTGTGTTTCATTTTCCTCTTTAGTAAAATGGAAAAAAATAATTGTATCTACATAACATGGTTGTTATGCGTGTGAAACAGTTAATATTTATAAAACACATAGAACTTTTATTATATGTCTGGAACATACTAAGCATTATATAAATGTTTGTTAGACCAATGAAAATTAAATGTTCTGAAATCCCACAAGTGGTAGAGCAAGTAGAATAGTGGGAACCACTTCAGTGGGAGTCATTCCAACATCATCTATCAGTTCCTGCTCTGTATTCAAATGAAGAATCGATCCATTTTGTTAATAAATGCTATCTTTACAAAAATATATAAATCAAAAAATTTACAAACCAAGCTGCTTAAAATAGTCCTCCAATGAACTCCAGGAATTCTTCTCAATTAACGATCTGACAAGGCCCCATGGCTGTTTTCTGTATTTCAAATCTGTGGAAACTCTAATAGAATAAGAAGGAAAGAAGAATATTTATTTAAAGAACAGACTTTAATTATATTAATGTTGCAATTAAATGTAAGATTGTATTCAGTGGAAAGCCAAAAGGATTAAAATTCATTAAGATAAAAGAAAATGTGTTCACTGATAATGGCTTCTTTAAAAATTAATGTATGCTGATAATAATTCCATCAAATTTTCCTTCTAAGTACTTGCCACTTTATCTCTTTTCTTTCTCTAGTCTTGATTTTCTTTACCTAAATAGAAATAAAGGCTCAAAATAAATGCTAAATTTTCTAAATTCCTTGTATAAAAACCTCTAATGGTCACACATTAGTTGAAAGTAACTACATTAACTAAGACTAAGCCATCACTCTCTTTAATGCACCACCATTTCCATTTCCCACCGCAGCAGAGTGAGTTACTGCTCACTGTATTCCCTAAGAACTCCCAGGCCCCTTGCCATTAAATGGGGTCACATGACTGGCTGTGGCCAATGTATTGTGAACACAATTCTACAGCTCTCTTCCTAGGGCAACTGAAACAATACATAGTCTGGAACATACAGTTCAAAAAGCCTTCTTTAGCTGGCACTTTGCAGGAAAAGCCCCACCCCTCTGATGACCACTACTGGACATGTAATTTGAATAAGAAATAAAGCTCTGTTGTGTAAAGCTACCACTAACAATTCAGGATTAATAAATTAACAGAGCATAATCTAGCCTATCCTCTAACACATTCATTTACACTCACCTTAGCCTGCATTTCTGTTTTGAAGATCGGATGATACAGTATCTGTTCAGGGTATAGAAGTAATCATGGTAGGGGACATCATGTGTCAGTACTTCTGAATCTACCAAATAAAACCGTGCTTCCCGACTTTCTTTATATAGTATCTGCCAAAATAAGATTAAAAATTTTTTCCATGTACATGTTTCATGTATGAAGTTTCTTGCCAATTTAGAACATATATACTAGGATTCCTTCGGAGGAATTACACAAGACATGAGAAACCTGTATACAAAGCTAGAAGAGCCTCCACGTTGGCTCTGCTGTCTATGAATTAAGAAGGGACCTACAGAAATAGTATCTGCTGCTTCTCTGTCATTTCATTGTACAATTATTTCTTTCTTTTACAAATGAGTAGGGGAAAGGAACATACATAATTTCTTATGTATGTTATGTTATTAGTTTATAAAGAGCGTTTGTTTGTTTGTTTGTTTGTTTTTGAGACAGAGTCTCACTTTGTTGCCCAGGCTAGAGTGAGTGCCATGGCGTCAGTCTAGCTCACAGCAACCTCAAACTCCTGGGCTCAAGCAATCCTTCTGCCTCAGCCTCCCGAGTAGCTGGGTCTACAGGCATGCGCCACCATGCCCAGCTAATTTTTTCTATATATATCAGTTGTCCAATTAATTTATTTCTATTTATAGTAGAGACAGGGTCTTGCTCTTGCTCAGGCTGGTTTCGAACTCCTGACCTCGAGGAATCCACCTGCCTCGGCCTCCCAGAGTGCTAGGATTACAGGCATGAGCTACCGCACCTGGCCTATAAAGAGTTTTAAATGTTCTAGTTAGGAGAATAATTCAAAAATCAATTGCACAAAGTAAGGGCCTCACCACAAAATTCACCAAAGTTTAACAAAACCACCCTTCACCAAAAAAGTGAAGGGGGGGTGGTAACCAAACAAAATATTGCTTACCCTAAACAAAATTTAAAATGGTTGTTGGGCTAACCTTTCTCCTTTTAACCATACCTTTTCTAAATAGCCTCTAAGGAAAACAAAAAAGAGGGGGGGAACAGGAGGTTCCAAGGTTATCAAAGACTTCCAAATACCAAAATACCAAACTTTCCTTAAATGTTTGACAATTTTTAAGGTGTTTTTAAAAGGTAAGGAAATAAGTTATTTTTAACACTAACAGACAAAACTACAAGAGCACAACTGGAAAACAGATATTTCAACACAAATTGGCCAAAAACACACTCTACCATATGACAATGCCACACTGGCCATAGAGGAGGAGCATTAAATAGCTCATACAGTATTTAATTTAGAAAATTTAATCTCTTCTCCATGTCACAGCAGCCATCTAATTATTTGGCCCTAACCCTTGACATGATCCTGTGAATTAGATTTCTGTGGTGTTCTTTTTTAAATCGTATATTACAAAAAACTTTAAACATACATAAGAATAGAAATGAAGGACAATGAACCCTCTGAGCTCATCAAACAGTCTGAATAAAATTAACTCCTGCCCAGTCTTGTTTCATCTGTCCCTACCCCTACATCCCCTCCCTTCACCACCATCCTCTGCCTGGCTAGATTACTTCTAAAGGAAATCCCAGACATCAGTATAATTTCATCCATAAATACTTCAGTATATCTCTTTATAAATTAATTCTTATGTATATCTCTTTAAAAATATAATTTTATTTAAAACATATAGCTACAATACCACTATTACACATAAAAAAATTAATAATTCCTTAAATCTCATAAATACCTCTTTAACAAGTAGTATATTTGAATTAGGATTGGGTTGGTATGGTTTATTTGCCTCTTAAGTATCTTTTAGCCTGTCACAGTCTCTCCTTTTTTTCTTGCCATTTATATGTTGAAATTGTCTTGTAAACTGGTGGCTATGACAGGCATCTTCTCTCTTCCCACACGCATGATTCTTTTGGAACACTGACAGAGCAGACGTACCTGCTTTTCTGTGGCAGTGGTGCATTTTCCAGTCAGTGGATTATTAAGGACGATAGTGTAGGTCATGGTTCTCAGCTGATCACCTCCAGGTTCTGCAGTCCAAGGGGTAGATACTACATCTAATCACAGCAAATATAAAATGAGTTAGTTCTAGAAATTCGAAGAGTCTGACTTTAAATGGAATCAAGGGATAGTTTTAGAATTAAATTTTTATTTTTGACCAGTCCTAACCTCCTTGTAACTGTGTATTGTAAGTTTAGTACTGAAGAAAAGAGAGATTAAATGTTAGGCACTCTTCTTATATATGACATATTCCCCATCTCTGATCCATTTATTTCTAAATTGTTTTCTATTAATATACTTTTTTGTTTTTTAGAAGGTAAAATAAAAGTTGGCTCATCTGTAGGCTTCTATTTAACACATAATCAATTTATGAGTACAACGAATTTCCTAAATGGAAGTTTTTTTTGTATTTTCATTGAAGTATACCATAGATACTGTAATCTCAAGGATACAGCTCCATGATTTTCACAAAGGAAATACACATATGTACCACCACTCAGATCAAGATATAGAATTTATACCAGCATCCCAAAAGTCCCCTCACAGGCTTTACCTACCTGACTCTCCACAATGGTAATCACTATGCTGACTGCTGCATGTCCATAAATTTATTTTGCCTGGTTTTTAACTTTATATAAAAAAATTAAATAGCATGTACTATTTTGTATCTGGTTTCTTTTGCTTAACGCTGTGTCTGTGAAATTTACTCATATTGTTATAAATAGTTGTGGTTTCTTTTTTCATTACTATGTAGTATTCTTCCGTGGGAACATACACACTATTTGTTTTCCACTCTATTACTGATGGCTATCTGGACTGATCTGTGTTTTGAACCATTATAAATAAGGCTGCTATGAACACTGTAGTATCTGTCATTCAGAGCACACAAGTACCCATTTCGCACAGATGTATATCTAGGAGTAAAACTGTTGACTCATACAGAATTCACAGCTTTAGTAGATACCACCTAACCATTTAGCAAAGTGGTTCTTCCAACTTATACTCCACCAGCATTCAGCTGAATCTGAATACACAGAATACAATTCACAACAGAACACTTGTGAACTGGGTTTAGCCTAACTGAACTGGTACTTTAATGAATAAATTTAGTATTAGTTTTCAAAGGGTCTCAACTTAATTGTGAGTAGCATATGCCTAATTAAACAATTATACTGTTCACATGTGAACTTAACCAAACATATACCAGTTTATATATCACCAAAATAAAATCAAAGCATGTCTATTTTGTTTCCTCGCAACGCAAATCAATTTTTACAGTAGGCTCAACCCTCTAAGGATAATAAAATCCTTCCAAACTTATCATCAGGTAAGAACACAAAAACCAACCTATTATATTTCTAGAATTGGCAAATTTCTGCATAAAGTGTGAACTGGTGAACAGCAACTCAAACATTCTCTCAGCACTGATATGAAAAATACGGTTGATATAAAGTCTTCCATGAAGATCTTTCTCAGGAATATTTTCTAGAAAAACAAAAACACAGACCAAAATAGATGTAATCAAAGACAGGTAAATTTAAGGTTTTATGGGGTTTTGTGGGTTTTTGTTTTGTTTTTGGCACAAAATGGTTTTTAAATGTGATTATAATGATCACCACATTCCAGGACAGTATTAAAACTCTAAATTATTAGTATATACATATATATTACATATAACTATACTTAACTATATATAGTTAACTAAAGTATATATAATCAATATTTTAAGGCCGGGCCCGGTGGCTCATGCCTGTAATCCTAGCACTCTGGGAGGCCGAGGCGGGTGGATTGCTCGAGGTCAGGAGTTCGAAACCAGCCTGAGCAAGAGCGAGACTCCGTCTCTACTATCAATAGAAAGAAATTAATTGGCCAATTAACATATATAGAAAAAATTAGCCGGGCATGGTGGCACATGCCTGTAGTCCCAGCTACTCGGGAGGCTGAGGCAGGAGGATCACCTGAGCCCAGGAGTTTGAGGTTGCTGTGAGCAATGCTGACGTCACGGCACTCACTCTAGCCTGGGCAACAGAGTGAGACTCTGTCTCAAAAAAAATTTCAATTGCCAAAACCCAAAAGATATAGAAATATTTAATTTGAATGATATCAAACCTCCAGCATATATCATTCAAAAGAATATTTCAAAAGCTACAAGGGCAATATAAAGACACATAGGATGGTTTCAACAATTAGCAAGTCCTATCTCTGAATGCTTATACATTCAGCAAGTCATCAATGGCTATAATATCTTCTGCACTCACTAGCTTGCCAGTCTGAGTTATATTTCAGCCTGACTTAATAATGCCGATTCCCCCAAGATATGAATCATTGTATTTACAACCCATTCTCAATGCCACACATTAAAAGAAGTAATCCTTCTGAAAAGTAATCTTCCAAGCTAAAAAATGCCAAATAGACTATTACATTTATTCTGGAAACTCAATAATGACAATTATGTCAAAATCTACTGGTAGCTAATGAAGAAGCTCAATACCTGCACAGCTCTTCTCATATCTCTGGAAACACTATATAAAATAGCCCAAACTTAATATGGTGCTTACTATACATTAGACATTGTGCTAGCATCTTATAAGTATTGACTCTTCTTGTCTTCATTGCAATCCTGTGAGATAAGTGGTAGTATTATCATCATCATCTCCATTGCACAGATGAGGTAACTGAGTCACAGAGGATTGGCAAGGCACCATGGCTAGTGAGTAACCTATATAGATAGAATTTGAACCCACTCTAGCTCCAGAGCACACAAACCTAACCTCTTTTTTATACTGCCAGGAGTTTAATTTAGAAGAATCGGAAAGAAAAGAAAAAAGACAGCTAGGAATAGAAGCCTGGTATAATAAAAGAAGCATAAAGCAATCCAATATGAAATTTTAATGATTTCAGGACTGGGATTATTTATTATTATTTCAAGAATTATCCCCCCTCAACACAGAATGAAAACTGTGACAAAGCTTCCCATGTTCCAGAAATCAAATCCTAAGAATTATCTATATAAAGCATCTGTCAATATTATTCAGTTTGGTTAAGTAAAAGGGCAATAATCTATGGATCAGAAAAACTCTTTTAGCTCTGGCTTCATCCCCAACTATCTCTATTTCTCCCTCATTATATGATTTGTGTCTCTCTATTGTGTCACAGGTACAAAGAACTTAGGGATATAAGGTAGATAACGATTTTCCTTCTCCCTGCAACAATACAATACTACATGTAGGCAAAACCTATTCACTGCAATTTCAAATAATGGCTCCTTTAGTGTAGAAATAGATCATGAAAGTAGGCAATTTGCTAAGGTTTTGTGCGGTAACTTCCTAATTAGTCTTCGGAAACAGCTTTTTCTGCCATAGAAATATTCACAAAGAAAGCAAAAAACTATAGGTAATTCTATTGATCCTGCTCATTTCTTTCACAGAACCTAACCCAATTTGTAATTCTGTTTTTAGATGATTTGCTTATTATCTCTCTCCTGCACTGCATTCTTAAGTTCCATGTGAGTAGGGACCATGTTGATTTTAAACACCTATGTATATCTTGTGCTTGGCACATATGAAGTATTAGATAACTATATTTGAATTAATAAATTACTACTGAAAATGCTAAAAATATCTTAGGATCTACTTATTTCTAGAACTTTGAATTTGGAACCAAATTTTTGAAAACTTTTTATTTTGGAATAATTTGAGATTTACAATTAACTAAACTAGGCTTTAAGGTTTTTTTTCTTTCCAGTAACATTCTTTTCTGTACAAGAATCCAATCCAACATACCATGTTGCATTTAGTTGTTATAGCTCCTTAGTCTCCTCCAACCTCTGACAACTTCTCATTCTTTCCTTGTTTTTTATGATTTTGACATTTGAATCTTGTCACACCAAGTTCTGTCACCATGACATAGCCAGGTATCTCATACCCTCAGCCAAGTTGTCAGCTTTTACTCATGGCTCTACCTCCTAGGCAGATGCTTCACAAGGCTTCCCATAACATAATAAAGAGAGAGGGTATAAGAAGTAAATCCTGACAGCAGCAGAAATATATCCTTAAAAATTTAGCCACAATTTTTTTGTACTTGTAGATATGAATACATTGTGTCAACTTGTCTTCATTTGCCAGGAAACTCGGATATTCTAAACTCGGATATTCTAAACTATGGTCAGGTATTTTACAGAAGGCCCCTTAATTTAGGCTCATCTCGTGTTTTTTCATGATATTGGGAATATGAAATTTTGGAAAGAATACCATAAAAGCAAAGTGCTCTTATTATCAAACTCAGGGAATACAGGATATCAACATGATTTATGATAATGTTAATCGTAATCAGTTGGCTAAGGTAGCATCTAGAAGATTTCTCGACTGTAAAGCTAGTATTTGTCCCTTTCCATACTGTACTTGTTGGAAATGAGTCATCAAGTTCAGCCCATACTCAAAGGGAAAAGAACTAAGCTCCACCTCCTGGAAGGGGGAGTATATACATACTACATCTGGAACTCTTTAAGGAAGATTTGTGCTTTCTTTTCTATTTGCACATTTATTCAATCATTTATTTTTATCAGTATGGACTCATGAAAGTTATTTTACTCTTCAGGTTATAATCTAATACTATCACTATTTTGTTGCTCAAATTATTTGATTTGGCCATTAGGAGCTCTTTCAGGTTGACTACTATATTCTAAATTCTTTTGATACATTTCTTCTTTCTTTTTGTTTTTTAAGCACTTCCTTACATTCTAGTATTACAACATGCTCCAGGCTCATCTTATATCTTCCCTACTCAGCCCTATCATCAGCCATTTCTCCATGGAGCCCTGGAACTATAATTTTTTAAAAGTAAGCTTCTTGTTCATAGTTCAAAGGAAACAAATTACACTTATATTTATATATCTCAGTATATTTTCCTATTTTTAAACCCATTAGATAAGATATTGTGAATTATGACTGATAAAAATAGAATTTGTAATATCACCACCAGAAATTAACAATATGTTTTATATATAAATTTGTTCAAGGTAATAAACATATGAAATAAACTATTTCCATCTGGGATTAGTCATTTACAAAATTCATGATACTTAAAAGTCTCCTACCTAAATAACATCACCAATAGCATTGCTTAACATGTTAAGATAGCAGGTGGTATATTAAAAATGGGGAAAGGAATACTACTCAACCCACTGGCAGGTTACTAATTATTTCCAATAAACAGGAAATATTATTTCAAGCATATCAGTTTGAAAGTGGCCAAGAGAAATGGTACAAAGTGAGACAAATAAACATAGAAGTACATGGACATTAAAAAAAACCCTGAAAACATGCTGGAAGTCTTTTGAGGGTGCGTGAAAAATGTACTAGGTAGGTATGCCAGAAAACCAATTGATTTGGAGTTTAGCTTAGTAACTAAGGACACATAATTTGTTATATCTCCCATTTTCTAAAAACTGGTAACCTGCTATCTTCTTGACTCAGGGCATTCTTTACAACTGAAAACCCAAGTTCAACTGGAGCGTGTATTCAAAAATCCGACCAAGGCAACTGTATCACAGTTACCTGGTTTAGCCTCATAGCTGCTTCCCTCACATGCCAGCCTACTCACAGCTTTTCCTCTGGCATTCCCCAGAGGTCTATTTGTCCTCACCTTTATTAATTAATAGGTATCATTTGATATTCCTACTCCTGTTACTCTTTGTTTGCCTCTAACTCATCTTGTTCTGTCAGTTACAGATCATGGATTCCAATTTTGCTATTCTTATGTGTCCCTCCCACTGCCTAATCTTTGCTTCAGTCTTAGCTTCTACTCCCAGCACCAGTGACTTTGGTTAGGAAATCCTGTCACACCAAGTTCTGTCACCATGACATAGCCAGGTACCTCATACCCTCAGCCAAGTTGTCAGCTTTTACTCGTGGCTCTACCTCCTAGGCAGATGCTTCACAAGGCTTCCCATAACATAATAGAAGAGGGAGGGTGTAAGAAGTAAATCCTGACAGCAGCAGAAATATATCCTTAAAAATTTAGCCATAATTTTTTTATACTTGTGGATATGAATACATTGTGTCAACTTGTCTTCATTTGCCAGGAAACTCGGATATTCTAAACTCCTCCCCCAAACTGACCAAGTCTGTTAGCTTTCCCTGGCTGGGGAAAGTCTACCAGCAATAACCCTTTAGATAAACAAAGAAGTTCTGTGGCTTCTTCTGAAAATTGTTATATATCAGAGTTTTAAATTATTAACAGTAATATGGTTTGACATATTAAAACACAATGCTTAGCATTTTGTTCAGCAACTGGGTACCCACAGCCTATTTCTGGGAGTACAAAAATGTTCCTAAAAAAGGTACCCTTCAATCTTGGTGGGTTTTAAACTGGTTAGTATAGAGTAAGAGCTTTTAAAAAAAGAAGCCAGTCAAAGCAGATTCTAGTCTAACTTTCCCTCTCTGGGCTTCAGTTAAACTCCACATCAAAGGGACTGAGCTAGAAGTTCCTTTAGGTCCCTTCATGAGACACTTCATGATGCTCTGCTTTGTTGGTTCCTGGCAGGGATACACCGGTCTAGAGGGAGTCTCTATGTCAAACCAGCCTAGTGCCCCTCCTCCCCAAAACTATAGTCTACAGGTAGTAACAAAAAAGGGGGGGGGGAGAGAAATGTTTTCATTTTCTTACTCAGCCTGCTCACTAAAGTAGATCAAAATACTATCGTTTTAAATAAAATGATGTTTAAAGTGATCTGCCAGTGGGGCGTGGTGGCTCATGCCTATAATCCTAGCACTCTGGGATGCTGAGGCGGGAAGATCACTTGAGGTCGGGAGTTTAAGAAAAGCCTTGGCAAGAGTGAGACCCTGTCTCTACTAAAAATAGAAATAAATTAGCCAGACAACTAAAAATAGAAAAAACTAGCAGGGCATGGTGGCACACACCTGTAGTCCTAGCTACTTGGGAGGCTGAGGCAGGAGAATCGCTTGAGCCCAGGAGTTTGAAGTTGCTGTGAGCTAGGCTGACGGCACAGCACTCTAGCCTGGGCAACAGAGTGAGACGCTGTCTCAAAAAAAAGATCTGCCACCCACCTAGCTCCCTCTAAACCCATACACATATTTCCAAATCTCCTGGGATGGTTTACTTCTTTTGACCTTTACCATTGTCTCTCCAGCTCACTGACTTTAAGAATCTTTATAATGTTACAACTTTAAAAATATAAAAAACAGATTAATTATCATACACATTTAATATATATGATAAGCCATCAGGAGTTCTTGATTTGTTATCTAATGATAATCTAGTAAGAAAAAAATCATCACCCCATTCACTTTAAATAAAACCTCTACAAGGAGGGTTGAATGTCACATGTAAATTCTTCCTTCCATACTTCTACAAAGGCAAATGGTCTTTAAAGGGGCACCAGCAAGGAGTAAAATGTGATCAGGGTTCACATGCAATACAGAAACGATATCACTATTATTCCTTCTTTATTTCTAGAGATGTATATAAATTTTATGAGTTTTAATAGTATCCTTTATGTAACTTATCATTAATGATATTTTTATAGGAACTTAATAATGAAACTACTTTTTAAGGACCATTCTTATAAAACAGCAGGTGAGAAAGAAGAAAAAGAATCCTTGTTTTGGTGTCACTTACCTATTTGGCCACTGGGGGCCAGAGTAGATCTTCCTAAAGCCCTAAATTCAGTCAGACAGGGTATGACTAATTTATGCCCTGCTGCATACTAAAAGCACAAATGGAAAGGACACTAACAGTCGATACCCTTAATCTCTCCAAATGTGTCCCACTGCACTGACTTCAATGTCAATGATCTTACAGGTTTTTTCTTAAATCCTTAAAATGCCTACTTAGTAAGTATGACAAGTTCCAAGTTATTGGTACTAACTTGAAGAAAGTAGAAAGCACATGATTTGCTATAAAGTTTCCTTTAAATATCTACTTTTTATTTTTATTATATTCTCTACTTTTGCATCTCTCTCCCTCCCCCATAACATACGTTCTTAAGCCTGAAACATGAGAAATACTAAACCTTTGATCTCTTTTTCAGCCCTAAAAGCAGCATAACATGCAAACTAACATATTTGTTTTGGAAGTTTTAAACATATGTTTAGAAAAATTAAATTTTATATTAGAGGAAACTCACATTAATATAGTAAACTTACGTTTATGTTAAAATGGTTGGGAAATAGCTCACATTGACTAACTCAATTATTATTGTAACACAGTGGGGATGCCTATTCTTGATTCCTTCCAAGTTAAAGGTGCTGCTCAGTTAGTATAATTCCCGGCCTCTCTCTACCCCTTTACGCACTCCATGCGTAGGAAGTGGATTAGTGTTATGGAATGAATGTTTGTGTCTCCCCAAAATTCTTATGTTGAAGCCTGGTGGGTACTAACCCCTAGTGTGGCCGTAATTGGAGATGAGGCCTCTAAGGAAGTAATTAAGTTAAATGAGGTCATAGGGTGGGGCTTTGATCTGGTACTGTTAGTGTCCTTATAAGAGGAGACACCAGAGCACCCGCCCTCTTGCTCTCTCCCTCTCCCCCCTCTCTCTGGGAGCAAGCTTGAGGAAAGGCCATATGAGGACATAGTGAGAAGGAAGCAAGCCAGGAAGGGAGGTTTCTACTCACCAGAAACTGACTCTGCTGCACCTTGACCTGGGACTTCTATTCCCCAAAATTATAAGAATATAAATTTCTGTTGTTTATGTGGTATTTTGTATGGCAGCCCAGGCTAATTAATAGTTTGTAAATATGGAAGGAGTATGCTGGGCCGGCTTGGCAAACCTCTGCCCTTCTTTCTGGGATGTGAGTACCCATATAAACTGGTACTCCTCCAGGGACAATCTTCCCTCTACCTGGGGAGGAGGCTGAACACGGCCTGTGACTGATGGGTAAGTCTATCTCATTCTTCAACTAGGCAGCCTGCGTATCTTTCACACACACCTACATTCTCTAATTTCATCGCTATTAGCATCAGAGGTGATATTTTGGTCCCTATCTGACTTGGTCTTTGTTATCTTTCCCAATTTGATTACAACAGAGTGGTCAATAAGGACTGCTATTTGTTAAGCCCACTTAAGACCTCAGGTGTACATGGATTATAATACAAAACATGTAATTAAAAAAATCATCCAGAATATAATACTTTTAAAATTCAGAAGGCCTTTGGGTCATGATTCTGATTATTATTTATCATTATATTAGAATTAGGCTAAATCTTTCTTGGCCTTCTAAAACCAAATAAGTTGCTTTTTAATGCCATATGGAATATTATTATCATTTGTATTTGTAATAAATTTCAATTGTAGAATGTCTTCCAAAAGTGAATTGAAATTAAATGGAAATTTAAAAAAATTAAATGGAAGGACTATAATAAAAATAAATCAAATTCAAGAGCAATTATGATAAACTGGCATTCTGCCTTCAAAAATTCGTCACATTATTCTAAAATATAACCACAGTCAAAAGCTTAGATCTTCACACAGAGAAAGTTGAATATTCTTCTAAGTAACATCAGTGAGTAAATTTTTTTAAAAAATCATTTACTGATAGAATGATTCCTCTTCTAGAAATTTTGAGAATCATCTTTATTCCTTTTTGAAAGCTACACAATAATTTAAATTAATATTCATCTCAGAATATACCCTGCCATGACTACTTGCTTTCATAATTATATACAAAACAGGCTTAGAGTAACCTTTGCTAAGGTGTATTACTAAAAAAGGAAGAAAAGAGGCTGGGCGCAGTGGCTCACACCTATAATCCTAGCACTCTGGAAGGCCAAAGTAGGAGGATAGCTTGAGCTCAGGAGTTTAAGACCAGCCTGAGCAAGAGCAAGACCCCATCTCTACTATAAATAGAAAGAAATTAGCCAAACAACTAAAAATGGAAAAAAATTAGCCAGCCATGGTGGCATGTGCCTGCAGTCCCAGCTACTAGGGAGGCTGAGGCAGGAGGATGGCTTGAGCCCAGGAGTTTAAGGTTGCTGTGAGCTAGGCTGACTGACGCCATGGCACTCTAGCCCAGGCAACACAGTGAGACTCTGTCTCAAAAAAAAAAAGGAAAAGAAGAAAGACTGGACTGAGAGACTTGGTAACTAATCCTAGCTCTGCACAGTTAAGTGACATGATTTTAGATTTAGCCCGTCCAGGTCTCATTTTCCCTACCAATAAAATGAGGGGTAGCCTAAATGAATAACAGGTAACTGTACCTTTAAAATGTGAGCACCTTATGCTGCCTGGTATATAGGAGTACACATGCAGATTTTTATTAACAGATTTGTTCTTCCACTAGCACTGTTCCATTGCCTTAAGGCTTAGAATTTTAAAAGCTAAATGTAATGAGGATTCTTAAATTCCAAGCTTCAGAAGGAAGTGGAGACAGGTTAGACTCAGTAGCCTCTTTCTCCTTTTTCCTAAAAACTTCTAGTCCTTTTTGGTTCTTTATAGGGTGATATTGTATCTAATGCAACTATATTCTCAATCTGCACATACCTAATGCAAAGATAAGCATTTGAAGATATAACTGAAATTTACTTAAAATTTATAAGAAATTCTTTACCTTCATCAAAAGAATCTGAAGTGCTGCTTTTATCCAGAGAAAGATATTCATTTTTATTCAAGTCCAGTGATTTTGATGGCACTCTACTTAACTTCTTTTCTGAAGTTAGTAAAGGACTCTTTTTGATCTGTTTCTCGCTTTGGGGCTCGTCTTTCCCTAACCCCTAAAAAGCAAACAATGCAGTTTAAAAAAAACACAATATTTAAGCCTAGATTTTACAGTGAGAACTTTAATATTAAAGATGCTTTAAATATAGCTCTTTGAAAAATACAACATTTTGTTATACTTACATCATATTTCCAATGCTACTAAATGTCAACCCATAAAATATCAGTAAATAATATATATCATTCTGAAGTCATTTTCTTACACAGTAATGAACAACAAATTTATAAAAAACATCATATAAAAAGAACTCACAGACAGTTAACATCATGTGAATCACTTAAGCAGAAGGGAAAAGGGACAGCGGACAAAAATAATGGAACAGTCAGTTTTCTGGGGTGAGCAAGAGAGAGGAGCCAAACCCAGTTAGCTTCCCCAGCCAGTGTCTGCCCCATCACCTCAAGGAAGAGAACTCACCCACATCTCAAGACCTGAAGGGAAAAGGGAAAGAAAATGGAGAGATAAAAGTCACATAAGAGTACAGCGAGGGAGAGAAGATTAAAAGGGAAATTAAATTTCACAGCAAATTCACAAGACACAACTGGCTTTGCTGTAAAGGGACTAAGAGATTAGGCATTAAGATATATTCAACGTATGCTGTCTATACTTTCTGGGATGGTTTGTTAAAGATATGTCATTTCAACAATAAATTTAACGGTAGGAATTTAGTACAAACACTACTGTTATGTTAGTAGTCAAGTAGGATGTATTTATCAGGCTTAGTAAAACACTATAAAAATCTACATAAACTACACAGAAAAGTATTATCTTGCATTGTCTATGTGTGCACAGATGAAAGAGAGCAAAAAACATATAGACAATCCTTATACTTCTTGTCCCATGAGATCCTTGAGCAGCACTGAACAGCAGAAGCAGCTCCAGGGAGAATACAGGTTTCCATTGGCCACTCAGAAAGCAGAATAACAACTGGGACCCAGGACAGTTTATTAGAGGATTATATTAACCTAGTCAGAAGACTGATTCTTGAAGCAGAGATCATTGCTAAAATCAAGATGATTTATTTGGGAGTTCCAACTATTATATAAAGCAACACGCTTATTTAGTTGACTCGGGGCCTCTTTCATAGGTACTGAGTAGAGCAAGTTTCTCTGTAGCTCCACAATTGTTTCTCCTCTTATTGCAAACTAAGTGATATTTCCTATATAAAAAACATAGATAGATACTTGTAAGAAAAATAGTAGTCACTATCTTTTAGTGGTTGGCATCTTGATGATTTTTATTTTCTCACATACTCTTCTATATCTCTATCTGAATTTTTCCAAATAGTCCAACAAACGTTTTCATCTGGGAAAAAAGTTATTTATGACTTTTTCTTATTTCCAACTTTGCTGGAAGTGAAAATGAAGCAAAGTAAGTCAAATTTGATATTCATTGACATCTGAGAATCTCACCATACTGCACTTGAATGCAAAAGAAAAAAAAGGACCAAAACCTCTGCCTATATTATTTGTATCCTATAACCTGAAAACACCTACAACACCAATCTAAACACTGATGAATGTATGATCTATCTTAAAACTTTAAGTTATTCACTTCCTTTGTACCAGTAGAAAGTCACTAAGGGTCTCTAGATGAATACATTTAGCAAGAAATCCACAACACAAAGCCAGCCACTGCTGCCTGAAACAAGTTGATAACTTGGTGGCCTTTCACATAAATATATTCCCTTTCGATGCTTTCCCAACATTTACTCAGAAGAGATGCTGGGAGTTCCCTGGGGGAGGGTGGAAAAGGACCATTGGTGTCTGCAAATTATAACAGTTTATGGTTATGAGATAGTTAATGTGTGTCAGAGACTGTTCTAAGTGGAGTCATGCATCATTTAACAATAGGGATACATTCTAAGAAATGTTGTCATGAGGCAATTTTGTCATTGTGCCAGCATCACAGAGTGTACTTACGCAAACCTAGGTGGTATAGCCTACACACACCTAGGCTATATGATATAGCCTATTGCTCCTGGGCTACAAACCTGGACAGCATATTACTGTACTGAATACTGTAGGCAACTGTAACACAATGATAAGTATCTGTGTATCTAAACATACCTAAACATTGAACAGGTACAGTAAAAATGTAGTATAAAAGATAAAAAATGGTACACCAGTATAGGATACTTACCATGCATGAAGTCTGCAGGAATGGAAATTGCTCTGGGTAAGTCAGTGAGCGAATGTGAAGGCCTAGGACATTATTGTACACTACCAAACACTTTATAAACACCATATACTTAGGATACACTTAATATATAAAAACTTTTTCTTTCATCGATAAGTTAAATTTAGCTTACTGTAACTTTTTTAACTTATAAACTTTTTAATTTTTTTAAACTTTTGACTCTTTTCTTATAACACTTATCTTAAAACATACATTGTACAACTGTACAAAAATATTAAAATATTTTCTTTCTTTATACCCTTATTCTATAAGCTCTTTTCTATTTTAAAATATTTTAATTTTCTTTTTTACTTCTTAGACTTTTGTGTTAAAAATTAAGATACAAATACATGCATTAGTCTAGGCCTACACAGGGTCAAGATCATCAATATCACTGTCTTCCACCTCTACATTTTGTCCCACTAGAAATGCTGTCATGAGGCAATTTTGTCATTGTGCCAGCATCACAGAGTGTACTTACACAAACCTAGGTGGTATAGCCTACTACACACCTAGGCTATATGATATAGCCTATTGCTCCTGGGCTACAAACCTGGACAGCATATTACTGTACTGAATACTGTAGGCAACTATAACACAAAGATCTTTAGGGGCAATAACATGCATGGTGCTGTCATCTCTTACGTTAGCAATGCCGTCTTCTGGAATACTTCCTAAATGACTTGCCTGGGGCTGCTTTACAGTTAACTTTTTTTAATAAGTAGAAAGTATAATATAATAAATACATAAACTAGTAACACAGTCATTTATTATAAAGTAGTATGTACTGTACCTAATTACATATACTATATTTTTATATGCCTGCCAGTGTAGTAGGTTGTTACACGAGCATTAGCACAAACATTTAAGTAATATATTGTGCTGTCATGTTATGATAGCTATGATGTCATTAGGCAATAGGAATTTTTTAGCTCCATTATGATCTTATGGGACCACTGTTGTATAGGTGGTCCATCATTGACTAAAACATCATTATGTGGTACTTTCATATATATTAATTCTTTTAATTTTTATTAAAAACCCTATGAGGTATTATCTCATTTTATAGGTGAGAAAACAAAGGCAAAGTTTAAGTAATTAAATTAAATTAAACAGTTAGCAAGTGGCAGAGGTAGAATTTGAAGCCAAAGCCCTGCTCTAAACCAAGAATTTCAGCTTTGGCCCCAAACTTGCTTCCCTAATCAGCAGAACAAAAGCTCTGCAGTATGAACACTCTGAGCATTCAGAATGTGGTCTCTAAATACCATTCTTCACTAAAAAATAATTATGGCTCACTAAGAAAATGGCTGATGCTACATCTGGGGCAGAAAATGTACAAAATGTGCCTGAAAGAAAGGAAGCCATCAAAGGCAGCGGGGACAAATTGAGTATCAAAAAAATAATAACTCCAAGTGATCAAAACTTGTTGAAATAAAAAATTGATACACTTACAATGATACTTGAAAGAATAAAGGAAGAAACTAACTAACTGACTCTAGAGCTCAGTATTTAACCCGACCTGCCTGCTTTTAGTAGGCAGCTTAAGCAGCGTCTATTGTTACTCAAGCTCAGGGGCTCATCTCTCCCTTCAAAATAGACTCTTTCCACCACACACACTATTCACCCTGGGAAAAGTTCTGCTAACTACAAATTTCTCCATCTTGCTATTTTTTAAATTATATTTATCCCTCGTATAGACCGATGCTCAGGGAACTGCCTGGTAGTTCTGCTGCACTTTATCCAGCTCTAAACAAAAGCACACATTTTTCCAACAGTGCCTCTGCTACCTATAGACTTAAAACTCTTCTCTTAAAGTAAAGTAGCAGCCTGACATCTCAAGTTTTTAAACATTTTATATACTGTATTTTTATTTGATCTTATATTATGAATAACATATAACTGTATAAGATATATTTTAAAAGAGATATTATATACTAACTCCTTTTGCTGAATTCCCATCGAGTGACTCTGTCTCTGAAACCCGACTAATTGATTCACGGGTAAAACTGATTGACTTGGATAATTTTTCATCTCTCTCCCCAGAGTTATCCAAGCTGCTTCGTCCTGGACTTCTGTAAGAAACAAATCAATATTGGAAAGTAAGGTCACCTCCACACAAATAAGTGATTTGGTTTCCTCACTGAGGTCCTTTTCTATTATAAAGTATTTTGACCACAAATGAATTATTGTAACGTAACAAATAAGCCTCTACTTATAATATGGCTATCTTCTTAAATCACATGTAAATTGACTTCATTTTTTAAAACAATTAAGATACGCTCTTAAGAGACTTTATAAATTTCAGAAACTATTAAAAAATTAACAAAGTACATGTGGCCACCACAGCAACTAATCAAATGAATACTGCTTATTTTAAATTTCAGTTGTGGACAACCACAAAGCTTCAAAAGGAATAGAGTACATGTGTAAGTTGGATACCGGTCTGCACCAAAAGACAGTTTAAGATCTTCCTTCTGACCCAGTCCCAGCTGAGATGGCAAATTCCTCCCAGAAGTGGAAACTCGTGATGTCTGCACATAGAGCCCATCAACTAGTCCTGCCCCCTTCTCGTTCTTCTCAGCCCTAAGAGCAAGGTTTAAGAAATAGCTCAAATGATCATAGGGTCAAAACTACAATAAATGTCCCGGAATCTGTTTTCCCTTTCTCAAGGAGTAAAAAGAAAGAAAAGCACATAAAATACAAAAGGAACACAACTGATCTAATTTCCAGTGCTCAACCTTATGGAAAAATTATTATTCCCATATAATCATTGCTATGTATAGACTTAAAACTCTTCTCCTAAAATAAAGTAGCAGCCTGATATCATCCTGAGGAAGGAATAAAAAAAGCTAAAGGGTATTTCAACCCTATTTAACTCTGCCCCAATAAATAATAGGAAGGTCTGCGACCAAAGTCACTCCTGGTCAGGCAGAATGACAGGGCTCTGAGGGAACCAAATAAGAAAATGGCTTCTTGGGATTAGCCCACTAGCTGAGTGTCTGTACTTTAGGACTTTAAGAATAGAGGTGAGGTGTAGAGAAATAGAGAGGAAAGTTGTAGGAAGAGGGAAAGAGAGATTAAGAATGAAGAGAAAGAAGATGGAAGAGCTGAGGAAATAAAGGTTTGAAACAGATATGCTTCTTTCAGAGACTGGAAAAATGAGAATAGAAGTAGAAGAGAGAATGAGGATTCTGCCACATATTTTCTTAGAAAACACTCAATCACCAGAAGAAAAAAATAACAGCTTTGCTGGTGACCTCAAAAAGCTGGTCCCAAGAGTGTACGAAGCAAATAGTCAAAAATATTTATTCTTTCCTTCTTTGAAGACTAGAAAGTTTTCAAGTTGGCAAGGACTTTAAAGATCACCTAATCCAACTGCTTCATTTCATAGATGAATAAACTAAGGATCAAGAAGGTTACAAGATGTGCCTGAGGTTGCTTAGGTACTTGGTGGCCCAGACTAGAATCTAGATCTCATTTATCACAATCCAAGGCTCTTTGCATTAGAGTAATCACTTTTCTATCCAACGCCAGTACCTGAGACAGTCTAGTAAACTTTACAAGAGGAGCAATACAATTGAAATTCTTAAACTTTCCAGAAAACTAATAAAATATACATGTGCAATCATATTAAAAATACTATAAAACATTGATGCTAAACTGACACAATATACATAGGATCAGAATAACTAGAAGATTATCTAAATGAGTAAAATTTCTGTAAACACGCTGAGATTTTCAAAATATTTCCATTTTAAGATTTGCTAAAGAATTTTTTAATAACAGCTTTAAGATATAATCCACTTACCATAAAGTTCACCTCATTTAAAATATACAATTCAGTTATTTACAGAGTTGTACAACTATCATCACTGTCTAATTTTAGAACAGTTTCATTGCCCCAAAAAGAAACCCATTAGTAGTCATTCCCCATACCCATTAGTAGTCATTCCCCATTCTCCCTTCTTTTCAGCTCTTGGCAGCTACTAATCTACTTTCTCTGAATTTCCTGATTCTAGACTCCATTACACATATGTGGAATCCTACAATATGTGGTCTCTGTGGCTGGCTTCTTTCACTTAACATAATGTTTGCTATAGAATTGTAACATATTATCCTTACTTGCTTTTAATGCTATGGCTTTAATTTTCAATGGATAAAATGTACTTGTACAGGTTAATAAAAATGTCTACTCTTCTAAATGAATACTCATTTGTCAAAAATAATCTCTCCCTATTCTTACTTTGTTTATCACATTATCTATTACTCCTTTGAGTCTTACCATTTTCTACCTTGTATAATAATTATTTGTATTCCCACAGTACTATACACTCCTTTCATTAATGTATTCAATATTTACTGAGTGCCAACTACATGCCAGGCACTATGCTAAAGAATCCTTGAGGAAAAGTCATGCTATCACTGTATCTTTCAAAACACCTACCATCTAATATATTTTATTGTTACCTATAAACTCAGAGATTTCACTAGGTACTTCTCTAGATCCTTAATAAAAAGGCTTACAAAAAGTAGGCTTTAAGCAAATCCTAAGTGAAATAGTTGCACAGTCAACATTTCCTTGTATATCCAGTATTTGCTTACCTATTTAGCAAACTTTCTCTGTCCACCTTTTACCCTATTCAACCACAGAGAACAAAGAGGCAAATTGCACCCAAGGATGAATTAATAAAAATTCAGAATTAGTATGATCTAAAATAATTGTTTTGATTAATGATTAATAAATCTTTACATTTCAAAACATTTTGTTGTACCTTGGCTGCACATTATCCTCAATCGATAGTGACAAGTTTTCCATCTCTTCGGCATTTAAGCCTAGCTCAGTGCCATAGTTCTGCTGGAGCAGCTGCCAGAATTCCTGCCTAGTCAGGCTCTAAAATGACAGAAAAATTACACTGAGTATTGGAAAATATAAAAAATAATATAGCATAGTGATTCAAAGTATGAATTTTGAAGGCAAAATGACCTGTTGCATAGCTACTAGATGTGGGCTTTCAAGTTGACCAATCTACACCTTCTGCTTTATGTATCTATAAAAATGGGCTAATAAAGCCTATCTTCCAGAGTTGATATGCAAAGAATAGATAAAATAATTTTTAAATGTGTATTATAATAACTGCTGTAAATGGGAGGTAAAAAATGTTTAAAATTTTCTCTGTATAAAATAATTTTGTTCCTAGTTTCTGGTAACTACTCATCTACAGTTTAAATTCTGCACTCCAACCAGTCTATCATGACCACTGGCATCACTATTTAGTCCTAAATGTCAGCTTGGAACCCATCCTCTTGATCCATAATGTATCTGAACACTTTAACTGTTTTTAAAACTTTATATGCCAATAAATTTTAAATTATGTTTTCCTAAAATATAAAATGTAGGAGGCTAGACTTCAGAATATTCCTTTGATTTATTTTTAATAAAGTCCAGCTTATTCTTTCTTTGTAGGTAGCATATCAGTGTTAAAATCATCGAGTACCACAAACTCATGCATTACATAGGAAAACAAAAACAATATTATGATAACCAATGGTCTGTGTTCTAATAATATTATAGATAATTACATAATTAAGTAAGATAGAAGGAGGCAGCATTACACTTGAAGCAACTGTTGGCAAGATTCTTTCTCATTCATTCAACAGATATTTATTTAGTACCTAACGAATGTGTATTACTGTACTGGATGCTAAGGGGGATAAAAATGATGTAGAAGTTAAACTCCTGGCCCCCAAACGACTTACAGTTAAAGAGACATGGGATGCTCTTAAGTTATATGACAAGATATAGTGTGATTATGCACTAAAGGAGTAGTAGAATCAAAAAGGAAAGTCTAAAGGAAGGAAATACTACTATGGATTAAAGGTAATCAGATAAGGCTTTACACTGAAGAAGGGTTTTCAACTGAGCTGAAAGAAGGACATGAATGAGTGAATGGAGAAATGAGAAAATTTGGGGAGAGGGAAACCAACTGAAAATACAGAATAAATACATGAACATAAGTAATATTTGTTTTGAAGTCAGTTAACAGTTTATCAGCTTAATTGGAGTAAAAATTTTAAGTTGGGAAATAGTACAGATAAATATAGATTGATGGGGCCAAAACATACAGATGCCTTGAATGCCTTACCAATATTCCCTACAAAAAATACAACTTCCTTTTTCTTTTTCTTTCTTTCTTCTATCTAGTAGCTATGGTATTTTTGTTTGTTATGTCATACTAGATGACCTTCATTACATTTCATGGGACCTTAAAGAGATTAAGAACAAAATATCTGCACTTCAGACTGCTAGTACCTAATCTGCCGTGCTCAGATTAGGATTCCACAAGAGCAGGTGATGAAAATTCATATATTATTATTAATACTTCAAAAAGTCAAAAATATTCAAATAGTTACTTTCAATAAAGCTATTCAAGCTAAGTAAAATGGCAAGGCTTTTTGTTCTGAGCTGAATTATACTAACCTAGAGTGGATATCTCAGGCTGACAAGAACTCTCATTGGAAATAATGTAGGTCTAACAAATAGTGATGTTCTAATATTTATTATTTAATACATATCACTTATTTGGTAGACAAAGTCTTTTGAAGCATAGTGTTCACAGAAGAAAAATAAAAAGGACCATTATTGGTAGAGACCCTAAAGGAACTGTCCTTAACCCTAAAAGAATATGCACACATTTCTTTTCTGACTTCCACTCCAGAAGAGTCACCTGTAAACTTTTTTTTACAATAACAGTTCATACTACTAATAAACTCAATCTTCCAAAAACATTATCTTTAAAATATTTTTAGTATCATAAAAGGATGGTTTTATAAAGAGAAACAAGCAATATTTCAACTGTGTGAGATTAATCTTTTATAAAAACATTTCAGAAAAATAGGTATCAAACTATTCCAAAGACAGACTAAAGCAAATAGATAAACCAATGATAAATACTCAAACAGCTTCCTAACAGTGAAAGAAATAAAACTTATACTATAAGCAAAATCTAACAAAAATGCAATTCTATTTAACTACACAAATAAATGTTTTAAATATTTTATCAAATACTATCAGGAAGTTAATAGCAGGGAAATTTCAATATATTTTTTAATCTATTAATTAAATATATATGTAACAGGTTAGTGGTAAACAAAGTGAACTCATTTAATTCACCATCTTGTAGATTTACTAATTTGTTAAAAATGATTTTTTCTACAGTTGTTCAGTCATCATAAAAATTACAGCCATGCTGAACATTCAAGCATTAAAACGTATGCTCAGCCTGATATTCATAATTCTTTTAATAATCAGCAGCTGAACCAATCTGAATAACCTTAAAAAAACAACCTATTTTTTAAGCAAAAACTGACCACCTACCTGAGAACAAAAGTGTCTCCGTTTCAGCCTACAGAGTAGTTTAACAAAATAAAGATGAACCAAGCAGTGATCAGATAAGGCTCAAAAGTCAGAAGATCAATTTCTAGCCCAGAAAGCTTCGTATTCTAAGTATGCTGCAAAGTGTTTATTTGAAGCAGAGTTCCAAATGTTTAATGACAGCTATGTAAAATCACTGCTTCAATCACTAATTTTGTTATGAGAAACTTTTCCTTATCAAAGACAAGCTCTAATGTAGTTTAAAGCACATTATTTGTCACTTCCTGGTTTGTAGTATCAGCACTCTCCTCAAGCTTCAGGTCAGAATGCAGAATTGGAAGTTATACCTCACTCTACAGGTTCCTAAGCCACTCCTACAAGAAGAGAATAGGTACACACAGTTTCATTAAAGGGACAGTTCCCAATTTTTCTGTTCCACACAGAGATTAGAAACAACAAAATGCAAATGAAAATATCTTCCTTATGCTCAATTAATATAAAACACCTATTGCAATATTATTTTAATCTCCTTTTTAAAATGAACTGTATTAAGGGTTCAATTTTCTTCTCCATGCCAGTATTTTCTATTCAATCTGGCAATGTCATTTTTACTTCTTCACATGCTACTTCTCTAGTACTGAGGCAGCATTCCCCTCAGACTCCTGCATTAACCCTTTGTAACTACCAAGGATTCCATTTGAGTACTGTAAGTGGAACATCAGGAAATAGCAGGAAAAACCAGAGGTTCAGGTGGAGCAATTCCTATAAGCACTTGGCAAATCTTTCATCATTGAAAAGTTTAAGGTAACCTCATGATTACCCAATAATTCTTTGCTTTGAAAATAGGTCTGACTTTAGTTTGATCAGAATAATTTCCTGGCAGGCACACTACAGAGAGTCTCATCTACCAATTCCAATTTATTTCTCAGGAAAAAAGTCTTCCTCTAAATAAAGAATTAGAACTTGCCCTAATTTCTACCTAGTTGTTCCATTTACTTTAGTAAAGTATGTAGACAGGTCAAATGGCTACTTGATGAGGTATAAGAATCAACCTTTTGGGGGTTGCTAAAATCTAATCATTTTATACAATGGCAGAATGAGAGCAGAGTAACACTAGGAATAGCACTCACTCAAATGAAGAAAGCACACTATGGGAGCTAGCTTCCACTGTCTAAAAACTAGTGTTTTTAGCATATTATGGGAGTTTTCATTGAAACTGTAGATACATAACCTACTCTACTATGGTGAACAAACAGCTATAAGAAAAATATGCATTAACTGTATTATAATTGCTATTTATATACTTTTTGGCTATATATAAAAAATCCTCATATCAAATCACTGCTGCATAGAGCAGAGGTCAATTCAGTAGGCTTAAGGGAAAACAGAAGCTAGAACTGAGGCCCCAAGAAAGTCCGACATGCAAAGGATAAGTAGAGGAGTGGGCAGCAAAAAATATTAAGGGAAATACCAAAGGGGTGAGGGGAAAATCCAGAAAGAATGATGTCACAGAAGTCAAGGGAAGACATTGTTTCAAAATGCAGGAAGTGTACAATGGTGTCAGATGCTGCTGAAAGGTCAGGTAAGAGGAGCACATGATGAACACATGCATGGCAAATGCAAGCATTCAGAGTGGTGAAGCAGCTTGGCAAGCCAGTTCACCATGACTTGAGTGTGTATGCATATGCTGGGGGCAGGAGGGAGTCAGTGGGGAAAGAGGAAGCAGCCAGATCCTGAAGAGCCTTGCATGCCATGCTAAAGAATTATCAAAATATAAAAAGCCACCTAGTGGTTGGTTTCACATAGAAAATAACAAGTTCAGAATTGTCATTTTTAAAGTAATGATTTTAAAACTACTACTACTACTTGGTAACAACTTCAAGAACAGATTAGGGTATTTAAAAGACACAGTTAGGAGACATAATGGTTCAAGTTAGACATGATGAGGGCCTTGGTGACCAACTAGACACGGTTGGCAAAGAGGTAAGAAACAGGAAAGGTCCAAGTTTCTAGCTTAAGTGACTGGGTATGAGGTGGTGTGGTCCACCAACCAAAGGAAAATAGGTGGAGGAGTTCTGCTAATCAAAAATGTAAAAAAGAGGAAACAATATAAGAATACAAACACATCTACACTGCCAAGCTAGTCTATATCAAATGTGACTAAAATATTTTGCAATTTTACATTTATTTCTTCCACATAGGTTTGAAGGTTGCATTTATTAGATTTATAGCACTACTAGGAAACTTCTAGAATTCCAAGTAGCTCCAAAGGAATGATCTTTGGAGAGTGGCATGAGGAAGAAAAAGGAGATTTGATAAGGTTGAGCAGTCTACAGGAGAAGGCTGGATGACACTCTTTTAAAAGGCCTCAGAGGGTGACATCAGGTTTATAAACTGACCACTATTTGCAGAATGTCCTCAGCACTGTCACTGTCCTAGAGTTGGGCTCAGAGAGATTGACTTTAAAAAGCCATACTCATAAGCTGCATATACTCACTCAGCTGGAAACACACTAATGC